GAATTTCTCGTCGGCGCCGGTGGTGTAGTGATAAGCGTGATTACCTCTCACCCCAGCAGGCCTGGGTTCAATCCCAGTTGGCGCCGCCAGGATGTTCTGAGGCATAACATCTCTGATCACACCTTCCTTCGGAAGGGAAGGATAGCCGTTGGTCCCGGGTTCATGAGTTGATGGGTCGATAGGTAGGGTGCAGGTGTGAGAGCTGCCTCCCTGGCGTCGGTAGCATTGGTGCTCAGCACGGAAAACAAGATCGACGGAAAACAAATCAAAGGAAAAAAAAACCCGGAATTTCTGACAGTTCGAATGTTTTTAAACGGATTCGAAGCACCAAGAGACTGGAATTGCTACAATACTTTGCTTCAATTTCAAGTGCTTGTTAGTGGACTTGATAAGGACCTAAGACAATAGTAGTATGAAGAATAACAACGTGAAAAACTCCGCAAGGGAGACCGCTGCCGGGGAGCCGAGGAAAGTAAGATCGTGAAATTATTGGACACTACCACATTGTTGCTTCGAGTTCGAGGAAATACGTAGAGAACGATGAAAAGCGATTGTGTGGGAAGTTTTACCGGCTCCCACAGTCATAAATTTCGTTTGTGATAAACGCAATAGCCAAAGATGCCCCCGGGAAAAGTATCTTTGCGGAACGCCTTGCTCCAGCATTGTGATCTGCGATCATCAACGTGTGATACCTCCTATCTCTGTCTTGACAAACATATAACGCGCTGACCAACACAAATGGTATCAGCCACAACTAAAGTAATCCCATTCCATCCGGAACATTATGCTTCACGCCTCAGTTTTTGACTAACCAATCCCATACCTTCTTCCCCAAGCCCACTCGGGTTTTCCATCTCAGTTAAGTTTTATTTTCCTGTAAATATGTAATGAAGTCATGTTTTACGATTGAAAAACAAAGAATACTGTTTATATCTTGGCCTTGATCTTGGCTTTAATGTGAAAATGTTTCTGAACGAATCCAATTCAGTTGTTTGAGACATTTTTTTTGTTTCTACAAGTCAACTGGAATGTAAACAGTGGTAGTAATATAGCAGTGTTGCTAGTTTTGTTTAAATGACATGTAAGTTTCTGACCATGGGTGCCAATTAGTGTGCCCAGTTGTGCCCATAATGCCGAGTGATCAACCTTTTGAAAATACCCCACAATATGGGTATTTTTGGAATCGGACTGACGTATAGAAACCGGAAACCCATGTCTAAAACCATTTTTAAATTCAATATGGTGGCTTCCGGTTAGAGAAAAACTGGGGAATACTGTATAATGCTCAACAATATGCGTATGTTTGTATTAAAAATAATAAGTTAAATTAACATTTCTTATAAGGAGTTCTTTTTTACGAAGTAAATCTCAAATAAAGAGTTTATTCGCAGTTATTTGACCTACGAACCCCCGGTTTGGTTCTTAAATGGAGGTTTCAGTGTATTGTGGGGTATTTGATAGTATTTTTCAAGAAGAGCTTTGAGTGGGTTGGTTTATTTTCTTTAAATTCCATTATAATTGCTTATCTTTTGACAGATACGCGTATTTCGTCTACTACTTGCAGACTTCATCAGTGCCAAGTACTCAACACCACTGAAGAATCCATCTTTGATCTACGAGTTATATACTAATCAATAGGTACTAAAAATCAGCAGGTATCCACTGCCATGTCACAATTTAGCTAACCATGACATGGCAGTTGATACCTGCTGATTTTAAGTACCTATTGATTAGTATATAACTCGTAGATAAAAGATGGATTCTTCAATGGTTTTGAGTATTTGGCACTGATGAAGTCTGCAAGTAGTAGACGAAATACGTGTATCTGTCAAAAGATAAGCAATTATAACGGAATTTAAAGGAAATAAACCAACCCACTCAAAGCTCTTCATAAAGGGATTGCGTTAAGAGGTTCGACAAATTTAAAGTATTGTTCAGTTTTCTGTAACCGGAAGCCACCATCTTTGATGGCATCAGACATGGATTTCCAGTTCCTACTCATCGTACCGATTCCAAAAATACACATATTGTGCGGTATTGGACAGTATTTCTCAGCTTTTCTCTTACCGGAAGCCGACATCTTGAATTTAAAAATGGCTTCAGACATGGATTTCCAATCCCTATACGCCACCCCGATTCTAACAATTCCCATACTGTGGCGTATTTGACAGTATTTCCAAGTTTTTCCGTACCCGGATGCTGCCAGCTTAGAATTTAAAATTACCGCAGACATGGATTTCCGGTTCCTTCAACTCACTCCGAATCCAAAAATATCAATATGCCTAATATGGCTAATATGCCATTTTTGTCAATATCGCAGCAACCAGTGTGCTTTTAATAGAGATTATCTAAAGCCCAATTCTCGATTATTTTTTTAAAGGGACGTATCAGCTTTTGTTAACAATGCATTTGATCGTCGATTTGGCGTAACTGGTAGCTCGCACACGCTTACTAGCACCACTATCAGGTAGGGGAAAATATCTGATGGTAGTGTGAGCATACATGGGCGAGCTACCAGTTACGCCAAATCGACAATCAAATGCATTGTTTACAAAAGCTGATACGTCCCTTTGAAAAAGTTATCGAGCATTGTAATGATCTTGCAGCCTAGTGGTTAAAGGTGTGATTTTAGTAATCATGAGGTTCAGAGTTCTAATCCTCTTTTTAAACTGTGAAGCTTTTTGATATGCAAATAATGTTGCTCAACTATGGTTCAATAATGAGTAACCGTGATTGTCTGTTTCAGTTTCCAGGGATCACAGTATGTTCTTCCTTTTAGCTATGAGAAGACCCGCTTCACGATTGAGGTAACTTTTCTTATCGCTACTGTTGTTGTCCTCCGACTCCTATTTACTTTGGCGGGAGCAAGTAACGCAACGTCATTCAGTGCAGACATTTTTGACACGATAAATGAAAAAGCATACACGTTAGCCAAAAGGTTTCACCGGTTGTCAAATATCTCTAGCTTTGTAGATGACAATATGGCTACTGACCCCAGTCGGCGCCGCCGGGATGTTCTGAGGCATAACATCTCTGATCACGCCTTCCTTCGGATGGGAAGTAAAGCCGTTGGTCCCCGGTTCATGAGTTGATGGGTCGATAGATAAGGTCCAGGTGTGGGAGCTGCCTTCCTGGCACGTCGGTAGCATTGGTGCTCAGCACAGAAAACAAGATCGACGGTAAAAACAAACATAAGGAAAAAAAAATATGGCTACTGCGTTGAAAATTGGCAATTTGTTTTCCAGTTTTAATTCGACGGCTCGGTCTCGGCATAGATGAAAAATATTGTGCACACTTTAAAAGTTAAAATTATCTTGTAAAAGCTGCTGTGCCGACAAATACCTTGAAGTAGCATTTTCTAGCTTCCATGTGAAAGGCACTTTAGCCATTTTCTCATTTATGGACAGAGCAGTTCCAGACAACCAAATGATTTTTTAATCGACCTTCTCGGATTTATATGAAACTTTGGATAATTTTTTGCTATGGGCAATGATAAAAATTTATGCTAAATTTTGGATCTTGTGAAAATTTTAAAATGGTGCCCTTAAAATTTTTCAAAAAATTGTAGCATGGAAAAGACATTCCAAATCAAAATGACGTCTGAAATATAGTTGTAGAAAAAATAATGTCTAGCTGGGAAAAATAACCATTTCTTTTGAGTAAAATAAAAAAAAACAAATCAGATAAACCCTATTTTCGGCCTATTAAGCACAACCCGCACTTAGTCTTTCTTAATCTAGAGCAGCTTAGAACCAAACGGAATGTTATTATTACTGATGGCTTCCAAATTTTTTTACCTTTCCGTATGTACCGAAAGATTTGATAAAGAGAAACCAATCGTTGAGATATTGCGATATTGTCAAAAGTCTAACACTGCTTCTTGACGCCAAACTCGGCCTACGGATTCTAAACTCGGCCTAACGCATTGAAGCACCATTGAAACGCCAATGAATTCACTTCGGCCTATCGGATGAAGATAAAAAATGATTCGGTCAGAGCGCTTCTTTTGTTTTTGGGAATAATGGGTGCAAACTTTAATACCACGCGATCTCATTGACTTCGTTAGGTAGCTTATTAACTAAAGTATCGTACCAAACGCATAATTGACTTGTTATCTCTGAAAGCATGGATTTATTTGAAGTTTTCTGCTCGATAGGCCCAAAATGGGCGATTAGGCCAAAGGCCTATATCTCAAAATGTTGTTCCATTTTTTATTTTTTTATTTCTTTTAAAAAGCTTAAAATATTGAAAACTTTAGGAATATTTAAAACTATGAATACTTGAAAGGTTAAAAAAAGGTAGATCAAAAACTTTTCGAAATTTTTCGAACTTTTTGTTAATACTCTGGTAACACTAGATTTCGAAGTTTCACGCATTTTTAAATCACCCCCAATCATGTCCGAATGAGCCCAAATTTTGCATAGGGTCTTTTTTAAGTCAATGAGCACCAATGCTACCAACGCCAAGGAGGCAGCTCCCACACCTGGACCCATCCTATCGACCCATCAACTCATGAACCGGGAACCAACGGCTTTACTTCCCGTGATCAGAGATGTTATGCCTCAGAACATCCCGGCAGCGCCGACTAGGATTGAACCTAGGCCTGCTGGGGTGAGAGGCAATCACGCTTACCACTACACCACCGGTGCCGCTGATTATTATGGTTAAAATATATTTAAAGTTAGAAGAGCATATCTCGTTTTGTTCCGCAGAATTTCTCGAAATCTAAATACATACCCTTGGACACTGAAACCAACGTCACTTTTACTACGATATCTGTAAAACAAATCGAGAATCAGCAAACAAATCAAAGTGTGTGCTGTCTATTTGTGATCGATCGAAAATTGCCTTGGTTGGTCTTACCCTGCCATGTCCTTAATACCGCATGGAGACGAACCAGCCCTGAGCTGAAAGTCTCCTTAATAAAAAAAAACAACACCAAGTCAACGCCACGAAGATAATAAGACAAACAATAAAAAAGCATTCCTGATTTCCACGGTATTCTAACAGTATATTTACACTGATATCACATCACATCACATTTCATCATCTCTCAACACAACAATTTAAAGCGTTCCCGGAGCTGGGGCCAAGTTCAGTGACTGCTGCGAAACGGTATGTCCCGGAAGTGGAGCATCATGGACGGCTCCACGGTTGGCAGCCAGGTAGCGAGCCTCCTGCTGGGCATAGACGGCCACCGGAACAGCTGGCTGATGAACGTAGGCAGTTGGGTGGTAGTTGTAGGCAGCATAGGACACCGCTGGGGCCGCAGCATATCCCCAGGGAGCAGCCTCATAGCGAGCGTAGGCGTTGTTCTGAACCAAGGTGGTATACGGGGTGGAGTATGCCAATGGAGCCCATGATGCCTCGCTGGTGGCAACAACGGCCAGAACCATCATGACTACAGCTGCGATGCACTGTGTGGATGAGAAAAGTGCATGAAGATTGCATCTTTTGTTACCATTGTTATTATTGTACGTACCTTCATGATTGATTTCTTTGAGGATGATTTGAAAAATCGGAGAGACTGTTGCTGGATGCCTTGGCAGTTCAACTATGTCTCTAGAATAGACATACCTGTGTATTTATAGGAGGACTTATTTTTTGGGTCGATTCTCAAGAACGGTAGAATTTTTAAGACACGAATTCTAAAATTGCGATAATCTTAATAAATATATACATAAGGCTTGTAACACACGAAGTCATGTATGCGAATCTGTATGCGTCAGAAATATACAGCGTCTGATCCACATGTATATTGAATGATCAGATTGCGTGTCTGACTTATTCCGCGGACAATTGAACGTGTATCCGCTTTCGGCGATTCTCACACAATTGACCTTTCCCACCCGTGATGGGGGGTGGCGTCACAAGCGAAACACTCACTCGCGCAGAGAAGTTAATAAATTATATGACTGGTCCCATGAGTAGATTCTAGTGGAGCAGGAACAATCCAGTTTGAATGCAAGCAATACCCAAACTGGAAAGTAGTGCAGATTTTTTTTTTTTTGCATAATTAAACTTGTACTTCTACTCGTAAATGTCAATCAGCTGCACATACGGACTGCCAAAATTATCTCCCAGTCTCGAATAACCGCCGCTTATTGCAGGCTGATCTGTCCTTTGTTATGTACGAACAAACATTCACCTGCTTTGTAAGGAGGAGTAAATGGTTAAATCAGGAGGTAATGGATTGATAACCACTGTTCGCATGGATGAATATAGAATGCTTGACAAGTTGTTGTTCTATACTTTTTGTAGTTTGCGTTGAAGAATTAATTGTTTGAGCCAGGCAATGGATGGAAACATTCTTCCTATAAAAGCAAACCCTGGTCAATTCTGGAAGCACAACACATCAGTCTCTAGAACTGTTACATTCTACCTCTCCGCAAACCCTCCAAAACCAACAATCATGAAGGTAAGTTACAAATTGTCATTTTGATAACAAATCAATTAATTTTCTTCTCGAATCACGCAGTGCATCGCAGCTGTAGTCATGATGACCCTGGCCCTCGCCGCCGCCGAAGCATCCTGGGCTCCGTTGGCCTATTCCGCCTATTCCGCCTATTCCCCGCTAGCCTACAGCGTTGCACATGGCACCATCGTTCAGCAGAATCTGGGAGCCCCACTGGCGTACTCTGCCTATGGTGGTGCATATGCTCCAGCCGTGACCTATGCCGTCCACGCTTCCGTTGTCCCAACTGCCTACGCTTACCAACCGGCCGTGGCCGTCTATGCCCAAAAGGAGGCTCGCTACCTGGCTGCCAACCGAGGTGCCGTCCATGATGCTCCACTTCCGGGACACACCGTTTCCCAGCAGTCGCTGAACCTGGAACCCGCAGCGGGAACTCTGTAAATTCTGAGCTGCGCAGAAGTTACCTAAATTTGATATTGTTTGCGGATTGTGTGTTACCTGACGAGAGTATGTAAATAAAGTGAAGATTTGATGTGCAAGTATTAAAAGCATTTGTTTCGATAATCTTATTTTTATCAATATTTTTATGGAAAATTTCCTTCATAAAACCACATGATTTTATGTTGAGCAGGCTGAGGAATATTTCGGGTCAAAAATAGAGGAAATGCAGGTAATGTCGACTTAAGTGTCCCTAATTTGGGCCCACACATAAATTCAGCAATCGACTAAATTTTCAATAGCAACCAAAAATATCCATTAGTAACGACCCAATAACGCGTTAATTTAGATAAAATTGATAAATAGCAGATTTTTAGCGATGGGCCTAATCTTAGATCCATAGGCCAACATTAGAGAAATTTCCCCTACTATAGAGCATTTCCAGCCAAAGACGCAAAAAATAATGCCAGTTTTGTTTCGACACCTTCCGATTTGAATGAACCATTGTTCATATATTCTTTGCTACCAATGGTTGGACATTTGATCTACATATATTTTTTACTCTGGAGTATCATTTGAAAAGGGTCTATTCAAAATATGGATTATATTTTTTTCAAAAAATCATAACATCAAAATTACATCTGCGAAAAAGTTGTAGGTTCTTGAATGTACTGTGAGGAAAAAATACACTACAAAAAAGTTTGAAGTTGGTAAATTGCTTCAAAAAAAAATCTTTAAATTTTTAAATTGTTGTTGATTTCCACAATTTAATTAAATTGCATTATCGCTAGTAAAATATTGATTTATATGGAATCTACGCATCATTTTTTAATAAATTTGTAAACAAAATTCTTAGTCCAACTGTTGCCTAGGTAATGCGAATTTGAAAAAGAATAATTTTGAATTTTCAACATTTAAACCTTTTTCAAATGTTAGTTGCAATGTCCAACTCATTTGAATACATTGAATATTTTGAGTGTATTATTAGATTTAGAAAATACTTGTACTGTATTTTGGTTGTTTGAAACTGGATTATTACATTGAGATTTTCGAGTTCCAGAAACTGGTTTTACTTCTTTTTTTTTAAATCTGATCGAAATTCTTATCGGTCACTTTGAATTCTTTTAATCACATTAATCGTACACCACTGGTTGGAAGGTTTTTCCCCATCTTGCTGCATTTCATCTATCGAAGGCATTTTGTTTGATGGCAAACGATAAACTTGAAAACGACATCTGCTACAAATTTTTCCAAAGGAATTTTACAACCCTAAAATAGGGTATAGTACTACTTCGTCGTAATCGCCCATTTCCGTTCTATCGATAAGAAAAAAATCAATAATCCCTCCCCATGGACATGGAAGTTGACGGTACTGAAGCAAAGGGTTATGTTTAATTTCTTTGTATTTGCAACGATGATGATTTCATATAGTGACACATATCACCTTCTTAATGCTTCAGTATACCTCAAACGATTAATTCTTGGTTGTTAATAGAACTTCCTTGATGAAATCGGCTGCTTCATGCAGACTGAGCAATTCTGATTATAGTATCAGATTTGTTCTGTATACAGAGGAACTGGGAGGGCTTATTAAAAACTTCTCACCAATAAAGTAATGATCTTCTAGTAAATTTTGCGTATAATTTTATTTTATTTAAGCATATTATTTTTGTTACAGTCAATTTGCATTAGCATATGATACAAGAGATTTAATATTACTTGCTCGTTTTTGCGTAAAATAATCAATATTTATTTTACCTGTAATTACCTTTGAAAGTTTATTTTTTTTTATGATCTGAAAATTTTCCCAGTTTGCTTAGAAGTTTCGAAGCTAACGCATGTCCACAGGCCTAATAGAAAGATAGGCAGAAAAAGTGTATCATGAAGAATGGTTGCATGCAGGGTTGCTTCCACTCACTTGCTATAGATGAGTGATTTTCGGAGTTTTGAATTCGTTAGATGTTGTAATGGAGATTTGTGCTGTTGGATGCGGGAGAAGATTGGAGGGCGGGTGTTTGACGCATAGAGCCTGTCAATTTCGCTTTCAGAGTGTCGCAGTCAGCGGTTTTATGATTTGTGAGCGCTCGCGATTCGTAGAATCGTTGATTGTGACTGCAAGTGGATTTGACGGGTTTTGTGTGTCGGACGCTTGCTTTTTGGCCTTTTCTTGTGTCTAACATGTGCAGAGTATCATTATAACGTCTAATGGTTTTGAGATTCCTGGTGGTGTGAAATATATTTGTGAGAATATCTTTTTGAGATTTTAGCAGTCACGTTTTGTTTGTAGTTTATATTTTATTTATTTCATGTAATTATCGTAAATAATAGTTATTCAATAATAGATAGTTCATTCATATATTCGTACTTTGACGCGAAGCGCTGTGGATTATAAGATGCTCGATGACCCTCGAGGGATCTATTTTGCTTACTGAGCAGAAAATCATGGATTTAACCCCAAGCTCTTCCACAGCACAATAAATCGCCACCATCATTTGTATATTTGATATTGAATATTAACCTCGGAAACTATTTGCATATCAAGCGAAAACGTAGTCCTGTATTGTCGCGAAGCGTTATGGTTCTGAGATGCTCGATGACCCTGGAGGGATCGTTTTTGCTTACTGAGCAGAAAATCATGGGTTTAATTCCAAGCTCTCCGTCATGATCACTAAACAAAATGAATATGTTCTTTCGATAGCCGGCTATCGATAGATTAAATAAACAATAAATAAACAATACATACTTTTGGTTGCATCGCCAACTTGAGGTGAATCCTAACCGAATACCCTACCCAACCATCCAACTCCGTAGCACTTATGAGGGTGTCGCTAAGTTGGTGGCCTCTCATTAAGTAAGTACTACATCAACATTTCCTTCCCTATCCGTAGTTAGTTATGGTAAAGATGGGCGTGGCCGGGAATAGCGACAGTCATGCTTCTGTTACTCTTGTTTAGATTGGAACCAATGTTTACTCTTCAGCATTATTCCTGAAAGTAGTCTAACTGAGAATTTCAGAAGAGACGTGAGAGTCGCTAGTATCCAATCTACGAAGTATATCATAACAACGCTAACGCTAACGCTAACGATAAGAAAAAAATCAATAATATCCATTGAGAATAAAATAAAACATCATAAAAGTGCGATAAAAATTCAAATAATCCATTTAAAAAAAATTGAAATGTTGGGTTTGAAGAGTACATACTACTAAATTGTAACATTATACACACTTAGACATTATCGCCGACTTCGGTAATTTTTACCGAAAACTGAACAGCTGAACTTTTCGGTAAAATTTATGCAATTCAATTCAATTGCTTTTCAGCTACTTTGAAACTAAATCTCCACCAAAATGACAATATTTGATCATTTAAACAAGGTTGACATGTTAAGGTTAACATGTTTTGAAATTATTTTCAAATTCAATAGCCTTTTAAATGAAGGTCAAAGTTTTACCAAACGTTCAGCTGTTCTGATTTCGGTAAAATTTACCGAACACGAAAACAAAATCTTAGTGTGTATGCTTCTTAAGAATAGTTAAGAACGGTAATCATTAAAACATGCCAAGTTACTCAACTTAGCACTGTTATTCTTCTTCTTTGTCCTTTTATTCTTCTTCTTCTTCTTCTTCGTATTTCAAGCTAAATGTTTATCGCATTTCAGCTTATTGCGTGCTCTCA